CCTTTCTGAGGTTATTCAATGCCCCCACGAAAATGTGGGTGGAGGAGACTGTCATCCAAGTTCCTTCCGTGGACAAGCAGAGGCACTTAAATCATTCAGAGCTCCACGGTCTGCCTTGCAGATGTGCCTCAGCGGGGTCAGCAGGAGCTGCTGCTTTGACGGCACTAACAATCCCACTGGCTCGTGCTGACAGTGTCTCTGCTCTGTGTTCAAACTATAAATATGCCTGCAGTCTTTTTCTTTGCCTTTCTTCATCTGATACTGGAAAAATCAGTTACCTGGAGCCAGACTAAACGCAGAATAGCAAGAGATGAATTCTGGCTGAGGAACGGTTTATTTGAGATAATCTAAAGCTTGATATTACATCAGCCCTAAATGCAAACCCACCCAGATGGCACCGGCACCCGTCAATTGGGCAAAACAAACTATGTCCTAAATGAACACAAGGTTCTATCTTTTTTAAGACTCTGGAACAAGATTCCTCCCTTTGGTTTGTAGAATCCTACGTTGAAAGATGTCCTAGTGCCTTTATTTTGAGCAACTGGTAATGTTTCCCACATCAGAGTCTACTTCTAAATTAGACTGTAGACATTGGTAGAGAAAGGAGAAGAACAGCAAGCAGGGCCTCCCAAGCCTGCCTGGTCTCTGCTCGGGCTGGGGCTCTTCCGACTTGTGCTAGGAGGCCTCAGGAAGGCACAGTTTTCTTATCACTGCATGACACAGGAAACCCCAGTCACTATTACCCTGACAATTTCAGAAACTCTTAAAAATCTCAGCTAAAATTAACTCCATCTTCAGGTTTTCAGCACAACTTGATCTGACATGTATCCCTATAGTTTGAGGGAGGAGGAAAGAAAGGTTTAATTGTTCATCTACTAAATCCCACTACCTTAGCATTCCCTGCTGGGGGACAGAATGAGGACAGTGGCCAGAGAAGGGGAAAATGTAGGCAGAAGAGAAGAGAGGAGGAGGGAGAAGAAGAGGTGGAGAAGGAGGAGGAAGGGGGAGAGGAGGAAGAGGAGGGGGAGGAGGAGGAGGAGGAAGCGCAGTGCACAGGAGGGTTGAGGAGCTGGGAAGTAGAATATCAGCGAAACTCAGCACACGTGTTAAAGCAGGAGCCATACAGACTTCCTAGGACAAGCTGATTTCAAACATTCTATTCTGGAACATCACTGAACATTTGTGTGCCCAGGGACCCTGCCCCCTGGCATGTACACGTGCATCCCTCCTCTGTGGTTGGCCAGGGGTCTTCATTCCTGTGCAACCAGGATGCCCACGCCAAGCCTTGTCCCCCTGGTGGTACCCAGAGAGGCCTGGCAGGCCATGCTGGGCACCACATCTGCTCTGAGGTGAGCCAGAGGTACTGGGGATGCAGGCGCCTGAGTCAGACTGCCCAGGCTCAAAGTCCAGCTGCTCCTACCAGGTGTGTGATCTTGAGCTAATCACTCCACCACTGGGTTCCTCAGTTGCCTGGATACAGATGATCATTTCCCCTGCATGGGAAGGGTGTGACAAGGATTAAATGAATTGACACATGTAAAAAGCAAACAGGACAGTGCATGGTGCACAGCGTGTGCCACCTTGCGTGCTGGTGAATGCTATTCTACCATCCACACGTGGATTCACAGGACCGCACCATTTTAGACCTCAGCAAGTCTGCAGGGGCGGCCAACCTCAGGATAAGGATGCCCACAGGGAGGAGAACGGAGTCTGTTCCTCATTTCACAGAGACGGAAAGGCTGAGAGAGTCGGAGCGGCCTCACCACTGGCTGCAGCGTGAGGTTGGGTGGGGTTTGGAGATAAAACCCCGGCTCTGAACTCCCTACCTCTCTGTTATACTGAGCCAATATGCCACTGAGACTTGCTACCCAAGACTAGTTGGGCTACCTAGTTATTGCAGGGTTGTTTTGAATTCGGTTTTGTAGATAATCTAGTTAATCAGAGGAAGAGATTTCATGATAAGATAGCCAACATTTAATAGTTATGATTAAGCTAAACTACTTATGTATGCAAAGGTGGATTTTTCTAGTCTATGGATATAGTGAAAGAAATCTAGAGCAAACACTCAGCCTTGTTTCCTTTGAGGCAGCCCTGACAGAGCATACAGTACAGTGACAACTGATGACATGTTCTTCATGAAGCAGGGAGCCATCTTTTCTTTGTTCCCTGGATCAGGGTAACGTTGGGTAGCACCAGGGATACATCTGCTAGAATCTGGAGGTGCAGCGGAAGCTGACTGAGCTGCTCCTTTTAACCCCTTTGGGTATGATGCCCCCAGCCTTGCCCCATCATTTTGAGTTCCACAGACTTCCCACTGGTGGCTGTTCATATACAAAAGAAACAGGATAATGTAGCAATTACAAAACAACTCCTTTAACCATATCTTGAGAGAACTCCAGAAGAAGGAAGGAAAGTTTAGCAGCCAAAGTGACTCCTTTTGAATAGTAAATTGATGGTGTCACTTCTTGCCTGGAGATAACTAGGATAGTCCCAAATTTAATCTGAACTGAAAGGAAGGCCACGAAGATTTGGCCAAGAGCCACGAAGCCCTACACGGCCAGCCCCTGTGGCTTCACGGCCACAGTGATGTGGCTTCTCCTCCACTCCTCTGAGCACCCCTGCCCCTTACTCGGTCAGCTCCAACCACAGCGTTCTTCCAGACGTCAACCACACCAGACACACCCTCACCTTAGGTTATAGGTGCAGGCCATCCTCAATGCCCAGGTGTCTATGCGGCTAATTCTCACCCCTGAAAGTTCCACCCAGTAAAGAATCCGGTGCAGCTGTGAGCTGGACCTTCCCCGTTGTCCCCAACACGCACTGCCGCAGCTAGGTTTCTTCTTTCTCCCTAACAGTGTCACTTTGTACGCCAGTGTGACTTGTTCATTGATTGTGCTTGCTCTTCACTGTTTCCTTCCCATCGTGTGCGTTCCAGGAGGGCGCGGAGCTTTGTCTACTTTGTTCAGATGAGTCCCCAGTGTTCAGTGCACAGAGGTCCCATAAATACTACTTAATGAGTGAACGCTCTGCGGGGACGCTAGCAGGACGGTAACCGCAGCTGGGCGTTTGTTTGCCTGAGAACTCACAGGCCTCCCCTAGCACAGCTTGCTTTTCCCTCTCTGCCCTACGTGGGGTTGGTGCCTTTCTCTTGGATGTGCACAAGGTTGATGTAAGGTCCTGGGGCCACTGCCATGAAAGGGTGCAGGCTCTCAGGTCTGTGCTGAGCCCGTCTCACTCTGCTGCTGAGCAAGAGGCATGGAGCTGCCTTCGGCTGTCGGGTTCTGCAACAACGGACGCCCAGCCCTCGCTGTCTCCGGCAGCAGGGCCCACAGGTCTCCAAAGCTGGGGGCTCCAGCGTGGCTCCTTCTGAAACAGCTGGAGAGCCTCCAGCACCCCAAGGATCTGAGCAGGGAGCCAGGGCTCTGGCCTTATGACTCTCCCACGCCTGTTAGCACCTCCGCCACAGGTGGGTGGGGGTGAAACTCAAGTAGGTTGGCAACCTTTGCTCGCCTGGGCTCCACAGACCCATGTGAAACCCAGGGGTGAAACTCTGGGTGGAGAATATTTTTAGATCTCATTTATTCCTGTCATCTCTAAGCCATCACTGCTAATACCTGACAGGGCTACACCACAGGACTCACAGAGAAGATAAAAGGAATCAAGTATTTCATAAAGAAAGGTGTAAGACTTCTTTTGGTGTTGCCCACCAACTCCTGGACCCATGACCTCATCTCCAAAAACCTGAGGGTTTAATAGCCCGTAATTACTTCATCATCCCAGCTCTGCCCATCGTACTCGGCTTTAAGTGCCAGATAAACACGTTGTTTTTATGAAGGAGAGGGTGTAAATTCATAGAAAAAGTAAACACCTTGAGAATTTCTTAATACTAATTCCCGTCTTACAAGGAACATTGAGTAAAAGGAGGAAAAAGTGTTAAGCTGGTAGAAAACAGTTTCCTTCCTGAGGTCTGCCTGCTTTAGAAACTTAAAACTTTACATGTCAACTTGAGTTTTCATTTGTGCAGCTTTTTTTTCCCCAGTCCTGGAGACTGAACCCAGGCACACTAGGAAAGTGCTCTGGACTGTATCCCCAGCCCTCAATTTTGGCAACTTAAACCAATGAAGGAATGGGTGACGATTCCTAGCCAGCACGCGCCTGCTTTTGAGCTTTGGTTGTACCTTGAACCCATCCCAGGATGGCCAACCACTACTGATCAGCATGGAAATATGTTTTCTGAGGCTTTGGGTGGGGATTCACTGCGTGTCTGGCAGAACGGAAGCAGCTGAGCTGGGGGATGCTAAGGGCAAGGGCAGATCAAGCCGGAGAAAGCAAGAGCAAGTACAAGAAAATTTAGAGTGAACTAAATGGTAAAGGCCCAACATACTGTCGATCAGCACCCAAAAGAGGGCACGTTTGGGCTGGGGATTTAGCTCAGTGGCACAGCGCTTGCCAGGCAGGCATGAGGTCGTGAGTTCGATTCCTGGGACCGGAAAAAGAAAACCAAAAAAGAGAAAAAAAAAAAAAGAGGGCATGCTTATGGGCATGAGGGGAACTCTGCCTCATGGGTAGATGGGAGAACTCAGGCTGGTGGCCAGGTAGGGGTGGTCACAACCATGAAGGCAACTTGATCCTCTTCTCATGCCACAAAAAATTTTTCTAAATCAAAGGAAGATTCAGAACCATCCTCCTAGCATTTTCCTCATAAGAAATGTTAACATAGGGAGAACATGATGAGAAGGAATAGATCTTAAACCCCACAACAGACTTGAAGGTTGGAACCTGATTTTGGAACTTCAGCTAAAAAAGTCACTGGATGTCAAATAAAAACACACTGCCCCCCCCCAAAATGCAAAGGAAAGATATTAGCTATAAAATAAAAACAAAAGAAAACAATCAAAGAAAATATATATGTAGAAAAAAAGACAAGGAACAAATATGCATTTGGAGTAAAAGAAAAATCAATAAGCACAAAATGCAGTTTCCATCCCTGTAGCACACACCTTGTAGGGAGGCTTGTAAGTCTTTCATGTTTTGTTCTAAAAGCTGCGAAGGGAGGAATCCGGAGCCCGTCTGGAACTTGGCGTCTGGCTCTCCCAGGGCACCGGTCGGCGCTGGCTCCTTTAGCCGGCTGTCTCCGAACACAGCTGCCCATTCTTTGCTGAACTCGCCCTCTTCCAGGGAGGACGCATTGAAGATCTCGTTCAACAGCACCAGGTCATCCTTGTCAGCGCTGTCGGGTTCTGGGGTCTCAGCCATTGGGCCCAGGCAAGCTGATGGGGGGCGGGGTGTAACAGAGCACAAGGGACACATGAATTTTTAGGGTTCAGGTCTCCAGAATAAATATGGGAGCTGGGCGGGGTCAGATTAGGTAAAGGCTAGCTTTAAGAAAAAGGTTCATCAACACATATATTTATTCTTATAGCTTTATTTAACAGATTGAAATTTCTAATCCAATATTCCCTTACTCCTCTTCCTCCCAAAGCAAGTCCAGCTTCTGAGCATCATTAGAATTGTGGAAACATTTTCCATTCACACACAAAAACTCTAGGCTTTGGGTTTTGCCTCAACATCAAAGCAAATTTACCAAAACATTTCTCAGGTCTGAAACGGAGCCAGGATTCCAAGCCCGTAGGAGAATGTAGTTCCTGATTTCACAGCTTCCCAAATCTTCCCACTCAAGCCCTCAGTCTACTCAGCCTGGGCTGGGGCAGCCAACACACCCTGTGGCAGCCCGTCCCGCCACCCAGGCTGGGTGAGACCCTGCCACGCCCTGGCCCCTGGGGAACACCCAGGCTGGGAGGCCTGGCGATGCAAGAGGGAAAGACGGCACTGCTTCTTCCGCCCCTGCTGACACAGCTGCAGGAGGAAAGGAAGGTGTGTGTGTTTTGTCTGAGGGTAGCAGAGCTGGAATAACAGGGCAGGAGGGCAAACCAGAGGCTGAACCTGAGTGGCTGCTTCATGCGAGGGTCACAGATCTGGATGGTGGAAATGAACACCGGGCCTAGGGAAGCCCCAGTCTACTCCTTCCTTGCTGTGTGACTTCAGCTAGGCCCTTCGGCCCCTGAGCCTCCCTTTTCTCATCTATAAAGTTACCCTACTCCTGAGAGTGCTGGCAGGAAGACTCAAAGATTTTACACGTCATGGGTGTATGGGAGAAAACCCTCCTCAGAGCGGCAGCCTGCAGCCCGCTGGCCCTGGCACACAAGCAGAAAGGGGATGTTGTGATCAGGAACCTTGCAGCTAACTCACCCTCCCACGGGGTTTTCTGTGTATTTTGAGAACCGAGGACCGACAGTTGTACTAACTGTGGCTTTGTTGTGGTCTGTAATTGCCACCTGTAAACTGCAAACATTTTTGTTTTAAGTGCTAAAGCGAAGAAAATAAATCATGATTTATGTTTTTCTTTCTGAGCAACTGCAGTTCTGATGCAGTCATATTAAGTAAGACTCTTAGGTTTTCCTCCCCTGTATATAATTAGTAAGTGAAGACCTTTTAAAGAACGAAGCTTCTGGGCGTCAGCTTTACGGAATCTATTTTCACCCACATTTTACATAAAGATCTAAAGATCGAGGGGATTTCTGATGTGCTGAACAGCGTGGCGAAAGTCTAGTCATTCACATCCCTGTGGTTTTATCTATTTTTGGGGGGTACCAGGAATCAAACTCAGGACCTCACGCTTGCCAGGCAGGCGCTGCGCTATATCCCCAGCCCATTCCTGTGGTTTTAAAATAGTGGCAAAACATCACTTTAATAACGCAACTATCTAATTTAAGCATTTTTATTGTTTGGCTTATCAAAGAAATGTTCTCGGAGACATCGCCTGGAGGCGTGGTGGGTGGAAGGCGAGAAAGGGCATCCTCAGCAGGCGCTGAGGCAGTGCTGTAGCAGCAGGAACCCCCGAGGCTGGGTGGCGGTGGGGTGGGGTGTGGGGAAGCCAGGCTCTGGGCCTCTGCAAGGCGGGCAGGAGCGGAGGGACAGCACACTTCCCGGGGTCAGGACCAGTCTGTCAACACGTCTGTCCGTGCATCCTCTCTGTCCGTCTTTCAGAGCCAGCCCTTTAACAGTATGCTCCCTTTGCAGACCTCTCCGCTGTCCGCTTTCAGGTGGGACTGGAACGCCCAAACACTTTCTCCTGACTTATTTTCTGGCCTGACTGAAACCAGATGACGACTGAACCAAACCTACTTAATTTGAACCAATTCAAATCGAGGTGCAGACTCAAAGGTCCAGATGACTTCAAAGAAGCCTCGGAAGCGATGTGTTCTCCCCTTCTGGTCAGTTCATTCAGCCCTCTGCCAAGTCCAGCCCTGGGGAAAGCTTTGCCGCTGCAGTCTAGTTGTCTATCCGGGGAAGATTACCGCTAAGTTCAGCTACAAGGAATAATAAACTCAGAACCGCGTGTGACGGCGCACGCCTGTAACCCAGCCCTCCGGAGACCGAGGCAGGAAGATCGCTGTGAGTTTGAGGCCAGCCTCATTTACACAGTCAGACCTTGTCTCAAAAAAAAAAAAACAAAAAAAAAAACGGTAACTAGAGACTGCAAAAGTTCTGTTTTGGTTTTTACTGCTTAGGTTTCGGGCTAGTGTGTGTACAGCAGACTTCAGCAGCTTTGGCTGACTGGGCATCTCCTCTCTCTTCCGTTCTCTGCAGGGGGAACCTTTTCCATGTGATCTCGCCGAGGCCTCCCTGGGGTCTCCTGTCCTCCACCCCAGGCAGACATGTGGCTGAGGCAGCACAGTCCTCCGTGTCCCAGGCACAGTAAGGAGCACAGGGACGGGCGTGTGCTGGAGGCACTCCTGTGCTTGGTAGATGGAAATGAGACAGAAAAGGGTCTTTCTTCGGGATTCCAGGGTCCCAAGATACACAATGAAGGCTTCCAGTGATAAAAAAGCCAACACTAGAGAAAACCACATGAAAAGAGCTGGAAAAAGAATCTTGCTACCACTAGCTAGGCCTGTGGATCCCGTTCTGCTTGAAGCCAGCCTACTGTAGCACATCCTCTGTTATACACACCAATATATTCTTTTCTTCTAAGTTCTGCACCTAGCCTAGTCCAAGAACGGGTTCTATCTTTGCAACGAAAATATTCCTAATACTTTATCTTATCAAACTCAAATATTCCAGTCACAGAAATGAGAGAAGAGGCAGTGGTAAACATGGGACCGTCTAGATCCAGGTCTGGATCCAGATTTTGCCCACCCCGCCCCTGAACTTGGCCATTATTTAGTATCCTGGTTATTTAACAGTTAAAGCAAGCAGCGCTGTGAACATCTGCTCTTCTAAGAGAATTTATTAGCCAAAAGCAATGAAACTGGCAGTGACTTGAACCATAAAACACGGAAACCATCCAGTTATTGCACCGATAATTAAGATACCTGAAATTACTCCACAGAACTTGTAAGAAAAGCTTAATTACAAGTAGAAAAGGACAGGTTTAGGTCTGTAGCTGAACAAGCTGAGACTTGAGAAGTGATACTAGTCAGTAAGCTCTTGAGAATCAGATCATGCTATCGCTGTCTTTGAAGATAATCCAACTCAAGTGGGCGCACACAGACACTGAGGCAGATTGATGATAAGCTCTTAGACAGAAGCCTGGTAGGAGCCACACAAGCAGAGTGAGTGCACCACCCTCTCCAGGAGACAGGCGAGGATGCCCAGGGGGTTGCGTGCCTCACCCTGTGTGGTGGATTGACAACTGGTGGTCAGCTTGTAACACCCAGCTGAACTGAAGCAGCGTGGTGCTGGGTGTGGAAGGCCCACCTGAGGACTGTTGCCAGCAGCACAAGAGGCAGAACCGAGCAGGCTACAGAGAAGCTGTTAGGGAAGCTGCTGGTCTTCCTGGAGGAGCTTGCCATGATGGCTTCCCTGATAAACTCGGCTGCTCTCATTGTCCGAGGAGCTCAGGACCTTACTGTTGCTGAGAATGGCTAGGGTTCACTTTTGGGGAGCTCTGGTCCTCACTTTTGAGCATCACTTCCTGGCTCCAGAGGGGAAGATGGTCTACTGCCAGTCTCCTGGAGCTTTTTGCACTGGCTTTCCTGATGGGAACGCAGCTGTTCTCATTGTTGGAGGAGCTCAGGACCTCACTGTTGCTGAGGATGGCTGTGGTACTTTCCGGGGCAGCTCTAGTTCTTACTTTGGGTGTTGCTTCCTGGCTGCAGTGCAGAAGATCCCTCATCCCGCTGGCACAGACTTTCTAGTTTCCACCACGGACCCTTGGGCCCTCCCAGTGCAAATCTGTGAAACAGGCCTGCATGAGATATTGTTATGGACTCTGGGCCTCCAGTTGGACTTGTGGGGGGCATTGTTATGGGCCTTAGGTATTCAGCTGGACTCATGCAGGACATTGCCATGGGATCCAGGCCCTCAGCTGCATTCTTTGGTCTTTAGTGTGGGTCAGATTTCCTGTGTTCTCTTGTATAGGACTCCTCGGGTGACTCTTATAAATAACCTTATAAAATATGTGTCCTGTATTGGATTGTTCCCCTTGCAAACTCCAGACTATGACATCCTGTTCTTGTCTGGAAGGCAAGCAAAGGTTGTGGAGCACCCCGCTGCCAACGCTGAAGACGCTACTCTGAGCCACTTCACTTTCCCCAGGCTCCCCAGCCCCCGTATTTACGTTCATATCATTCACATCGGATGACCCAACTGTAGACGTCACTATAAAAATAAAAGCCAGCCGAAGTGATGCCCTGACCTCACCACCTCAGGCTCCCGAAGCCTTCTCCCATCCCCTCCCTCTTCCTTTCCCGGCGGGGCCCTCTCTGGCTGCCTCCTCCGTGACCACCAGCGTTCCACTCCGCATCTCCACGCTTTGGCTCTGCCAGGCTTCCTTCCTCTGGCCTCTAAAGACGGCACGTCCCAGCGGCAGTCAGTCTTCACTTCGCCCCTTCCAGGCTTGCAGTCCGCACCCTCCCACCCTTCAAACTAGGGTTCTGATTTCTTTGTCTTTCTACTGGGTCTCTACCTTTTCCCAGGCTGCCTGGATTAAGTTCCTGCCCCCGTGCTACAGGGCAGTGGCAGTGGCGTCTTACGGGTGAGACCCTAAAGGCCAATTCCAACTCCCTCTGCCCAGGCCTCAGCCTCTGTAGCACCCTGTGCTGCGGCCGTGCTCTGGAAGTGTGGGGGGCATCTCCTGAGGGTCGCCATGAGGTGATTCTCTTGGATGATGTCCCGTCTCTTTGACAATAAGTTCTCCATGCCATGTCATCAAACCTCTCTTCAATTTCTAGCAAAGATCTTACCTGTTCCCATGCTTTCAATCTCA